TCACAAAATTAATTATTGATGCATCAGTATACTTACTAATAATTCATCTGTCATTGCCTTCTTTGCATTCTCCGACACATCTTTCCGAGAACGCCACTCAGCAATAGGACAATTGTTCCTCATAGCTACAGCAATCGCATGCGCGAACTGAAAATGTTGCCTAAAATCATTCGGGTCGGCGTTGGTCACGTTATCATCCTTGTTTGCATCCTCCATTTCAGCACGAACAGAATTGTGAAGAATAAAGAGAACATAATTGTGAAGAAAAATGAGAGCAGAATCGCATATTTATAGGAAGGCTAAGGCCTTTGAACAACAAAGGCTTGGTCTCGCAAAGACCTTACTAAATACATTACAGATTACGACGAAGCCTTTGTCGCATAAGTGTTCTTCGGTTTCCTGAGCGTTGAATATTCTACCCTAGAAAATGAAGAAGCTTTGTGCGACGAAAACTTTGTCGCACAAATATACAATGGGAAAATCTTCATTGCGCATTAGTTTTCCTGTAAAAAAAACAAACCGTGTTTTTCTTGTTGGCTTTGTGCGACGAACATGTATTTTGTAGTCGTGCAAAAGGTTTTGCGCGACTAAGTGATCCATTGTGTAACGTTCACTACCCTTGCACGACGAAGGTATGTTCATCGTTGTGCAAGGTCTCATTGCGTGACGGAATTTGCTTTATCGTGCAAGTAATTTATCGTACTAGTGTAATGGCTTCTTCAATCAAGTTAATGTTGTTATAGCCAACTTCGTTTACCTCCGTGTGTTTGGTATTGCTTCCTCCCTTTTTTTGTTGTGGCATTGTAGATTAGGACATGTCTGCAGCCCAATAGGGGATATCAATGCAAAATTGTGATTGTTAGGCAGAATGCTTTTAGTCAATTGAGCGAGTTGCTTACAAAGATTAATTGGCAAGCTCAATCTGTAAAGAATAATTAGAACCTGCTCTCCATGTGGTTCTATGTTCTTGGATTTTTGGTAGTTAGTGAACGTTGTTAACGCTTATGCCCATAACAATGATGGTGGTGACCGTGGTGACAATGGAGGTTGTGGGGGTGGATGGTGGTCATGGTAAGGCGGTGGTGGTGACATGGTGATGAAAGTGATAATAATAATGGTTATTGCATGATATGAGCGGTGCGCGGATTTTGTTTAGGCAAGCACCAGTGAGGGGAAAGGGGAGTAAGCAAGCTTTAAGAGATAGGGGGATGGGAGCAAAATATGCATTGGTTGTTCCGAAATAGGTTGAGGATGAGGGCCTTTCATTAAAGGGAGAAAATTTTAGGCGGTTAAAGTAACTATCTCCAACCTTTTCTATATATCCTTAGTAGTAAGGCGAGAGACCATTATGATAAGGTTAATCTACGCGTTTTAAGTTCATGTGAAACAAGTTATTGAAAAATTAATATCCATGACCATTATGTTTCGCTCTAATGCTTCCAAATTTCGATAAGCTTTAGCTACCCCTAAAAGCCCTAACCATTTACGTTTTTTTTTGAAAGAAACTAACTTAGGCATCGGAGATCCATTGGCCTAACCCCCCATTCCCCACCTTATAGGTGCGTGAAGCCTAAGTCTTTGATCAAAGGTGTTGATTGTTTTGCAAGTGCATTTTCGTCAAAGTAAGAAATGACAGAAATTTGCATCGACAACTTGTTTAGTTACTACTGTAACTGTTGTCAATAATGGTTATTTTTCATGCTTCATTTTCATCTCTAGAAATTCAATTATGATTGAATTGAAATGTACTATTGTTCTTTAAAAATAAACATTGACATGTTCCAACACAATTTATTGTCAAATTCAAATGCATACATACTGAATTAAAATGTATGCTTACTAAATTAAAATGTACCCATGCCTAATTAAATGTATGGATAGGTTCTAGGGTTACACATAACTTGCTATTAGCTTCTTACTAGTGTTCTAAAAATCGGGCTAGGTGACCGTCTAGGCGCTATGCAGTGGTCAGCCGCCCGGATTAAGCCAAAAACTAGAGGCAAATCAGGGAAGGAATTAGGCAAACACCTATAGGGTCTAGGCGGGTTGAGAGGCCTAGATGGTCTGGGCGTGGTTGAAAGTCGAAGAAGTTTGATTTTAGGTTCGAATTTTTTTTCCGTTTTCAATCTACAGATGGAAAAGTAACCTCCTGTTCTAACGAAGATGATGATACAAAGGCGTAGGGTTTAGGAGGTGGTAGCCTCATTATTTCTTTTTCATCCCCATGTGACAGCAGTAACTTTCTATCTTTTTTGTACTTTGTTATCCAATACGACTACGCCACCTAGCATCTATTGTCTTTTGTAATTGTCATCCAATGAGACAGTTGCATCTTAAACTCCTGATTAATATGGGGCTTTAGGAATTAGGAGTTGGTATATATGCTGATAAAAATAAAATAAATTAGGAGGTGTGGTCTTTCAAATGTCTTACACGTTTCTACAAATTTGTAATCACTTGAATTTTATTTATTAAAGTGTAAATAATCGCTTCAATATATGATATATAATAAATTTACTTAAATCCGCCTAAGCACCCAGGTGCTAGGTCCCTGCCTGCAGTCTGACTAGTGCCTAGTATCTTTTAAAACCTTACTTTTTACATACCAAAATTATGATAATATAAACCTACCAGTAGCTTGGTACGTAAAATTACATAACATATCAAAATACTAATTTGTACATAAATATGAATTATGTAGCGTACCAATAATGTACCAATAACATACCAATAATCAGAGCTGGCTTTAGGGATGTGTGACAAGTTCCATGGCCCAGGGCCCCATTATAGTTTTCTATCTCATATAATAATATATAAAATAATGTTAAATATAGAATAACATATAAAAATGGTAATCAGAGCAACATATATATATATATATATATGTTAGTGGATCCCAAAAACCACAAGGCTACATGCCCACACAAACGAGAGATTTTTCAGTGTGACTGTCACACGGAATGGTACACCATGTGTCGCTATATAAATTGTGGGATATGTGTGTTAAAAGGTTAATAACTTAAAAAATAAAATTTCACACCACTTACATAAAAACACGTGATGTACCACCCGTGTTCCTGTCATAACTAAAAATTTCTCCACCCCCCTCCTCCCCCTCCCCCCCCCCCCCCCCCCCCCCAATCCCTCCCTCCCTCCCTCCCTCCCTCCTCCTCTTTTCCACTACTCATTTTCTCACAAATATTAAACCCTAATTCATAATTTTATGTAATTGAAGATAAATTTTTATCACAGAGGCTTCAAGTGATTAGAGTGATACAAACTTCAATTAAAGTAAGATATTTACTATTTAATATATTGAATTGGAATTTGAAGATTTAGATATTTCTCATCTATAATGATTTTTTTCTTTTGTACTTTTCATTCATAATTTCATTCAATTGAAGATAAATTTTCATATCACGGAGACAATTCAAGTGATCAGAGTGATGCATTCTTCGATTAAACTAAGATATTTACTAATTTATATATCTTGAGTTGGAATTTGAAGATTTAGGTATTTTTCATCTATAATGACTTTTTTCCTTTTGAACTTTTTAGGGAAAAACTCATAAATTAATCAAGTCATTGTCACAGAAAGAGGGGAGTGGTCACAAAAGATCACCAGATGCACACACATTGTGGATTATCAGGTTTCATTGTTCATACTTACTATAATTTAATTGTGATCTTATTTTAGATATAAAAGATGACACCTACTAGAAAATATCAAATTGACTACTTGAAGAGCCAAAGAAAAAGAAAAGTTGAATGATTGATCAGTCTCAAAACGAAGTCATTCATGGGTTCTTTGTTAAAGAAAGAGAAGCACAAAGTTTGTTTCGATAGTACTTTTTAGCATCAATACATTGTTCATTTTTTTGAAGATTGTCTTATAAGAAGAGCCCATTTTACAAATTTCACAAAGGGTCTTCGAAATCTCAAAGACAGCCTTGCCAATAATGTACCAAAATTATTGGTATGCTATTTTTTAATATATATATATATATATATGTCATCGAAATCTCAGAGACATCCCTGCCAATAATGTACTAAAATTATTGGCACGCTAGTTTTTAATATATATATATATATATATATATATATATATATATATATATATATATATATGTCATCGAAATCTCATAGACATCCCTGCCAATAATGTACCAAAATTACTGGTACGCTATTTTTTAATACACACACACACACCATATGTGTAATATTATTTGGAGTACATTGGTATGTTTAAAATATCATCATATGGTCTTTTTTGTTAAAAAGTACAATCGTCTTTTTTTCACCGATAGTTCAACCTTTTATTTTATTATTATTGTAGAAAATTTTCTTTTTTGATATATATTGAATTAATGGGACATAAACTAACAAGATCTTCTTTTGCAAGTTTTTTGGAGTTGGTTACATTTTAGATTTAATTAATAAATTAATTATAAAAAAAACTTGTATAATTTGAACTTAATTAATAAATTAATTAAAATTGTAAAAGATCTTAGAGATTGGGTCTAAGAAATAAAAAAAACTAAGCATCTAATCAAAATGCCCGTAAATGTATATCCGAGAAGCGGTTTCCTCCAGTGAGACAGCAAAAAGAAAGCCGGAAAAAATATTGCGGCAATGAACTTAGCTGGGATCCACAGCACACACTTGGTACACACTTGGCACACAACACATCCGCATCCTAACGTGCCAATTTCAATAAAAAAAAGGGAAAATAAATGACACGTGGTAAACACCAAAATTACTTAGTCTAGCAAGTTTTCATCAGCCACGTGTCGCTAGACCGTTGCAGGCAACATTACTCCACCTACGTAGGCCTAGTATAATTTGTGTGGGAACTTCGGAACTTGCCTATGCGGGCAACATTTCTCCACCTGGCGCCTCCTCACACTCCGTGTACAACTTGCGTGGTCCTGGGTCCCACTCAAAAGTCTTAGCAATCCACAAAAAAAATAAACAGCTATAAAATCCACCTCACTCACTCTCCAATTTTCAACTTACAACTCCAAAAAGAAGTGAAGCACTGAAACAGAGTCTCAACTCACAGCTCAATTTCTCCGACGCAGCACAACAAAAATGAATACGATCTTCAGTACTCAACTCTCCGATTCCTCCGAAAAGCCTGAATCGAGTTCCGACGACACAAGCATCACGGCTCAAAGCCAGCTGGCTTCCTTCTCCGACGAGGAGGTCATTTTGGCGTCCAGCCGGCCAAAGAAGCGAGCGGGGAGGAGAGTTTTCAAGGAGACGAGGCACCCGGTTTACAGAGGAGTGAGGAGGAGGAACAACAACAAGTGGGTGTGCGAAATGAGAGAACCAAACAAGAAGAAGTCGAGGATATGGCTCGGAACTTATCCGACGGCCGAGATGGCAGCTCGGGCGCATGACGTGGCGGCATTGGCCTTTAGAGGGAAGCTTGCCTGCCTCAATTTTGCAGACTCCGCATGGCGCCTGCCTGTTCCGGCATCCATTGATTCAGTGGATATCAGACGGGCGGCTGCGGAGGCTGCGGAGACGTTCCGGCCAGCGGAGTTTGGCGGAGTGTTGGAAAGCGGCGATGATGAGAAGGAGAGCAAGAAAATGGAGGAGGAGAAGGGTTGTGGAGGCGTGGAGGAAAGTGGAATCTTGTTTTACTTGGATGAGGAGGAAATGTTCGACATGCCAAGGTTGCTGGATAGTATGGCGGAAGGGCTTCTGCTCTCTCCACCTCACTCTTCAGGGGGCTACATGAACTGGGATGACGTGGCAAGCAATGATGACGTCAGTCTGTGGAGCTTCTCAATTTGAATCCATTTATCCCTGAGGAAACTTTCGTCCGCTGCCCAAAAAAAGGGACACTTTCGTTAATTTTTTTATTTAATTTTTGCCGCTAGGAAAAATGGTGTTGGTTGGTTGTGTATAGGCTTGCAATTGCGCGGACAATTCTAGTCCGTAAGACGGTTTCCGTTACATTTTAGTCTAATGGAAATATTTTGTTCTCCGCCCTTGCCCCCTGTTTCGATGCGTTACTTCACAACTCCAATGTCGAGGATAATTGCGAATTCATCTTAGCAGATATTTCAGCGCGTACAGAGGGCTTCCAAATTTCGGATATGTGTTGCTTTGCTCTTGCGCCGTTCATGGAATTTGAATTGCAAAACTTTCTCCGTCTGCTCTTGCGTCGCTCTTCTTTGTAGCTTGTTTTTACAACTCATGGGAACATAGAAATCATCATGAAATTACAATTTCCACGAAAAAAATAAATCACCATACAAATACAGGTTTTCATTTTTCTTTTATTTAACGAAAGATAGAATTGTATTAATAATAAAATACGAATATAAACATTTCCATCTTCTGTTAAAATATTAAACAAAAATTCAGATCATAATTCATCGCAACCAAACATTCCGCTATGCTTAAAAACGTACGTCACCACCATAGTTAGTTTTTAATAAATTTGAAGGTATTTTGAGGTAGTTAGGATATTTATGGTGAATGAGATATTTAATTGTACTAACTAGTTCACTGTTTGTTTAAAAAAAAAAAGAAAGAAAAAAACTAGCACACTGTTAGTGTGAGATATTTAGGATATTTTTGGGGTTTTATTTGATCAATTTAGGATATTTTTGGTGAACGGAGATATTTAGGATATTTTTTGGTGAATTAGATATTTAGGATCACTGTACAAAATGTTACCAAATTTGGACTGATTGACTTCAAAGGTATCTAAATATGTGTGATCGAGATATCTTGCCCTTTAATAGTATGTGGTTAGCTAACGAGTTGCTTTCCTTAATGATGCGTGTGTGGTCATATGTCCCAACACGTGTCGCGTATTGCTTGGGGGGTTTTTGCACACGTGGCGGGCAATAACAGAAAGGGAATATACCTTCTCCTTCCAGATATTATTTTTGACAATGTTTGACTTGGATTTCATTAATTATCTCAAAAACAATATATTAGTCCCAATTTGGTACAATACTTCAGTGACTACAAAAATAATCTAGAAGTGAATTTGCCCAAGCAAGACAACAATAGTAAATTTCTAGACAGCTACCACATGTATTAGACTTCACATACCACCATACAAAGCTGTCACATAACGATAGATATAACAAGACAGCTACCACATGTATTAGACTTCACATGCCACCATACAAAGCTGTCACATAACGATAGATATAACAGATTGTATCAGCAACTGTAAAGGGTCACCGCTGAATGACGTAGCCACATAAAGTCATCGTAGGTAGATACGAGACTACATAACACATCCCTAAATGTGAAAACCATATCCAACTAATGTTGTAGTGCGTCCACAACACTCTCTAGGTGAGAACAACATAAAATAGATTTGAGTAAAATCACTTTTTACTTGTTTATGCACCAACAATTATAGCTTTCCACTTATATACAAATTACTAAATTAAGGAATAAAAAGAAAAATTTCAAGACAATAACTTCAAAATATCATGAATTTGTTTTGTTTTGTTATCAAATAGTAATTGGATATTAAATTATTGTGCTTTTGAAAAAGCACTTCGACGAATACAATTACAATACAATGTTGTACGTAGGCACAAGGGAACAAGAAGGTCCCATGAAATCCACAAGACTTTGTTTTTACGCTGCTCCAAGTCCTTCCCATCCAAGTATCCTTTTTCTTAGTCTTCTGGCTGGAAATTTATTCTGACAAATCAAAACAAAAAAAAACTAAAAAAATTTCCAACAAAACAAAAGATGAACCCACCTCTAATATTTCAGCTGTGCTGTCTTTTAAGCAGAGCCAAGGGATTTTTCGACGAGCCACTTAATTGTATCAAGACTCTTATTTCAGGGTGGTCCATCCATCTTTTGTGATGTACTAGGATTCAGTAACGAACCCCGTACAGTTTTCTAGGTAATGTGTTAAAATGAAAGTGGGGACAAATTTATTTCTATAGCTAGTAAGGCCTCGGAAGGTTGTAGGACGTATAACCTTAGAGATAATCCGGATCCGCGCCGAATTCTATTTATGAGGATTCCGGAATTCATAAATAATATCCATTTATCGTACATCGTGCAATCAGAAATTATTTTAAATATTTTTATTTAAATTTAAATGCAAATAGTACCTGACAAAAACTGACGGCACGATATACGATGAACGGACACGATTTATAGATCTCCAAGATCCTCACCAAAAGGATCCAGAGAGGATCATGTTGGCCTTTGAGACTCGTCTATTTACAATCTCATGACAAACAAAAGAACAGACTTATTCATCTCCTAAGGACAACATTCTTCACGAAGAAGTTCAGAGGACATACTTCTGTTGGGTAAATTTGGTCGCGCAAGAGCCGTCGTAAGATATATTTGTCAACGGATACAAATATTCATCGGGCAATGAGTCCTTACCCGACGAACATGACGACAAAAATTTGTCAAGTAAGTCTACGTTGACCGGCGAAGCTCAACGGACTCCGTTTCACTCAACGAAAAAATGTCTCTATGCAAAAATTAAATATTTTTTAAGGTCAAATTTGCCAGACCAGCATTTCGTCGAGTTGGTGGTACTTTAACTGAAAAAAAAAAAAACAAAAAACAAAAAAACAAAAACAAAAAGAACAACTTCGGCGGACAGATTGCGTCATTGGGCAAGATGTAAATAGTATTAAAAAAATAATTTTTTTTGTAATTTAATTTTTAACCAGATAAATTATACTAATATCATAAAATTAAACAAATTTATTTAATTAATAACAAAGTTCGTTCAATATTATTAAAAATAAAAACCAATTTTATTTTGGATGACAAAATGGCTTCACTCGGCCCATGGAGACCTTCCAACATTTACCTCAGGGATTTCCAATGAACATGACATATTATAAATCACTACTTCCACATATTTTAGCTCCCTTTACACTTGAGCAAACACTTAACCATAGTTACCACTTACTAGCTCACATTTAATCAATTAAAACAAAATTTTGAATGTAGTAACATGTCTTAGAGAATTCCCTCAATTCCTCACAAGATATTCTCTCTATTTTCATACAGATTTTCTGACTACACTCCCTATACTAAGTATATGTGAGAAGATTGATGTAAACATGTAGACTAATACTCACATATGTTATAACAAAGAAAGCAATTTCTGGAATTATTAATATGACATGTATATGATCTCATGAATGGAACGCTACTACTTAGAACGAGAACCAAGGATTCCATATACTCATACCAATTTCAAACTCCACATATTAAACACATAACATCAAGATAGAAGTCTAAGGGTTGTAACGGGGCTAGGGTATTGGCTAACAAAGAAAGGTACGGATAAAAAAGGGTTCTTAAAGCAATAGTAAGCAAAGTAATGAAATTGACACTTAGAATTCACTTTTGATGGCGGAAACTAACTTAAACACAAAGGGAAAGTTCATGTAACACTTAGGATCAAATTCAAACTTTTGGACCCTTTATTCAACAACCAATACTTGTGAGCTCATTCTCACTTATTTCCCAACTCTTTTCTTCTTTTTCTTTTATTTTCTTTTTCTTTTTTTTTCTTTCTTTTGCCGTGCCCTTTTACCTTCCCCCACATTTTTTTTCTGCATAATGTAGATAAAAAGGAATTCCTTCTAGTCATGCTTCACTATTCTTTAAGAACATGGGTATGGATAGTTCTATTCTAGGCTAGGCAAATGATAATGTGGCTAACAAAGAAATAGGCTAAATAAGGCTCAAAAGGGTTAAACCTACAATACATATGCAAAGGGTAAGGTTTTTTGGCTCTGGTTTACTAAACAACTTCATCTTATTGTATGTTATGCACTCAATATCATGCTTTGAATGAAATGGGCATGAGTTCTAGTATTTGGAACTATAATGATGAAAACACATTCTAAGTAGCAACCAAGCAAAGAAACAATGAGATCATGCAATGACTTTAGAAAACAAGAAATCACAGATTAATAACTTTTCCAAATAAAGTTTAGGCTCAAGTCTTTCAGGGTTATAGCATAGTTTGAGTTCCTTCCTTCAAGCATGTTACAAAAACTGATTTTTTTTTCTTTATGATTACATGTGAATTCGTAAACAACTACAACTAAGCATAAACCAAAGAGCAAATCAAACATCCATCCATGTTTGTAACTTTCTTTAACAGTCATGCAATTAAAAACCAAATCCTCATCATTGTGTTGGAAGGTACCCTAAGACACAAACAAACACACAAGAACAACTCTTTTTGGTTTTTCAAAACTGTTTTTGGAATTTTTTTTCAAATTTTCGTATTTTTTGTTTAAGACACATTAAAACACTTCAAAACACACTAAAAACACTTAAAAACAGTGAGAAACAACATTAGAAGTGATAGGTGATAAAATTACACGAAAATCATGCAAAAACAGCTTGTATACCCCTCCCCCCCCCCCCAACACTTAAACTAAACATTGTCCTCAATGTTTCAAAGAAAGACTCACACACAAACAATCAAAACAACTTAACTAACAAATATGATAATTATGGCAAAGTAAAAGCAATAAAAAGTAGGGTTTAGGAATGCAAATCTGGTTGTGGATTGTTGGAGATTCCTAGGTCTTCTTTATTTGAATGCATGTGTTGCCTCCCAAGAAGCGCTTGCTTTTACGTCTTCCAGCCGGATGATACCTCCTTTTAAGCTCCCTTAGAGCCCACATCATGGAGGGTTGCATCCTCTATGACATGCTCATCAAAATATTCATAATAAGGCTTTATGAATGGGAGGGGATAGTGATCCTCCCTGATTGTGGTGTTAAGCTTCCTAAAGTCCATGTAAACACTCCCACCACCTTGAAATCGATTGGAAATCTGCACCAAAGAAGGTAACAACCTATTATTTGAAATTGGAATTGGGATTGGAGACTTACAAACATATTGTGAATGAGGCTCAGAAGTGGCAGCACTGTCAACAAAATCACTAGTGATGCTCTCGGTCAGATTGGGTGCTTTTAGGGCAGTCGCTCCAATTCCCTCTTCGATG